CTTTGAAGATTACTACGCTAAGGTCAAAGTTAGTCATCCTAATGAATCTCTTACGCAAGTTATGAAAGATGCCGGTGACTCTTCCGAAAACCAACATACAGTTGCCCACATCTCAGTATATCATGTCTGCAGTCTTTGTTGACAACACTCTGTTACCGGGAATAGAAGTTTTACTAGAACTTTAGACTTCAACTCTTCGTCTTGCTTTTGGTAAAAATTTGGTTCAAGTGATCGTTGAGGAGAGTTGTAAAAAACTTGATCTGCAAATTTTCTTTGTATAACAAAAACAATTTTTTTTTATGAAAAAATCAAAAAAATTACTTATACCACAAAATCTAGCTTATGAAACTGCCTTTGGTGTTATAAGTAAAAAAATTACTTATTAAATTTTACTTAAAATTTGTTATTTATTATATAATCTTAGCCCAATCTAATTTAAATAGAACACTTTTTTGAAATGGGGGTGTAAATTTTACAGCCTGTGAATTGTAGTAATTTTCTAATAGAAATATAAAAAATTTTATATATATTATTTTTTTTAAAAATCTTTAAAGATAAAACTATACTTCTATTTTTATTGAAATTTATTTAAACTTTTTTTATATGAAAAAAATTATATCACAACTCCGTATCCAAGACTAGAAACCTATACAGAACCTATAAGAAGTTATCTGCAACCTAAACCTTTTATATATATTACTTAAAATTCTACTAATTGATTCTATTTTATTCTTTAAATAAACTTGTTTAATATAAAAAAAATATATATATACTGTATATTTAACTCAAACTAGTTTGCAAACTTCGAACCAAACCCGAATCAAACTTATAATTAAATTTGAATTTGGTTTAAAATTTGAAACTATATAGTAAAATTTAGAGTTTGAGTGGAGTTTGGGGTTTGATAAACCTGACTTGAACCTAGAACTCAAATACAAACAGATAGCCCTCATTAATATCAACTGATTAATACAACCTCTCATTAATAAAAAATTGTGCTCGGACTGTATAAAGAATTATTTCTTTGCTATTAACACCTGTATACTGTATATCAACGTAATTGTATAATCAAATAGATTAATATTAATCAGTATTTAATGTTTCCTAGTGTTTTCCAAAAATAATTATAACTTAATGTTTTGTTATTTAAAAAAGCCAAATACCGTATATTACTGAAAATAAGCAACCAAAAAGAGACTTTTTTAAACAAAAGTGAAGAGGTTGCTTATATTAAGGTCCAATTTTATTAGTAAAATATAATAGTCTTCATCAAATTTTCGGCTCAAAATCTGGGGGTTGCTTATTTTCGGTAATATACGATAACAAGTTTTTATTAATTTTTTAATTTTGATTTTTAATCAGAACTAAATTCACTATAAAAAAAATTGTACTTTTTCTCTATTTATTAAAATATAGAAGAAGTGACAAGTGGTATAAATTTAAAAATAAATGTACATTACAAAATACAAAAAGACGTCGCACAATCAAAATGCCAATTATGCAATTATCACACAAAGCAAAATTAAACTGACCAAGTTAAGTGATCCTTTTTCTTTAAATGATAGTACGTCGTCTTTTATGGATCACGCGTTTTTCTGATCCTTCCACAAGATTTGGTTCGGTGGAATCCGATTTCTTGATATTCTTTAACTGAGAAATCATTCGTTGTCCATGATGTAAGATAATTGGTTCTTCCCTAACGACTTCTTTTTTTGGAGTAAAACGAACGGAATTACGGGATGATCCAACTACAACCTTTTTATTGGATTTTTTTTCCAGCTCAATGTCCATGTAAGACGTCTCTTCGCCTGAAGAATTGTCAAAGTCTTTAAATAAGGGTCGACCAGAGAAATCAACGACAGTTGCTTTTTTGTTAGATTTTTTGGGCTTATCTTGAAACGTAAGAGTTCGTTTTCCCTTGTACTGCTGCATTTCATTTTTGTAACGTTCCCTCGCTGCGTTTTGCCGGTCTCGATATATCTAATATTTATATAAAAATCTAGTTATGGAAGCAAAATACGAATAATCCTGACCTGATTTACCTGTTTGTCACTTTCTGTCATTTCTCTCCACAGTACACCGGCATCTTTCATAACTTGCGTAAGAGATTCATTAGGATGACTAACTTTGACCTTAGCGTAGTAATCTTCAAAG